GGCGGCGTTTTGGGAGGAGAGTATGATTGGGGCCTGACAGGGGGCTCCGCATCCTCAGATCAGGCTCCTACCTAACGTCTCCGAAGAACGGCGATCTTGATGCTGTAGATTGCGCGTTGCGGAAGCATTGTCAGCGTTCTTGTTGTGCCCTGTTTTCTGCTTTTGTCCTCGTCCTTGCTGCGCACAAGACTGTATAAGGCGTCAATAGCTTGGCCGTAACGTCATTCGCAGCCATGGCGGCGTTTTGGGAGGAGAGTATGATTGGGGCCTGACAGGGGGCTCCGCATCCTCAGATCAGGCTCCTACCTAACGTCTCCGAAGAACGGCGATCTTGATGCTGTAGATTGCGCGTTGCGGAAGCATTGTCAGCGTTCTCCGCCAAGTCCCATTCAGGACTAAGTAACTCCACGAGCGAGACATAAACCGCCGCGAACTGGCGCTGCTTCTTAGAGGCCGATGACGTGGAGGCATTCCAACGGAGCTTCATGGACATTCTTGTCAACTATTAATTAGCATTAAAATTTGATTCTTTTTTACTTTTCTGCCGGCAGCCCGGACACACTATAGTCCTGACCAGTGTTTCTGGGCTGCCGCCACAACCTAGACCACATCTAAGCAAAGAAATAAGAATAAACAATTTCGTTTCCGTACCCGTTTAACGCCCATGTAATTTACGGTGAAGGCAGATAGAGTTCGGAAACGCGAGCTCAAAAACCGCGAGCTTCACCGGGCTTTTCCGCATAAACAACGTGCCCCGCGTGCTTGCTTTTTTCTTTCTTCTTTCGCAACATTTACGTAGGGTTTAGAGAAGGTCAAAGGCAGCACGGTTTGTCGCCTGGAGACAGAGAAGCGCTTTGACTATGCATCCCCGCGCCATAGAGTTCCCCCTGTCCACAAAGAAAGCGGCTCAGGAAACGTGGCCGAGGCAGGCGCAGCACGTGGTCCCCTTGCCCCGTGATAAATGCGACCGAGGCAAACACGGCGCCCGCCGCCACCACCCTGGCCCCGCGCAAACATGTCAGCCAGTCGCCGAACACGACCGCGGCCCGGCCGCCGCCACTCCATCCTTCGCGAATCAAGAGCTCAGTTCTGGGCCCCGGTTTGGGACGCTGCAGCTGAGCGCTCACCGTCGCGCTGCCTAGAGCTCCGAGGGATTTTCATTTCACGTGTCCGACACGGGCTATCATTGGCTTTTCGGTTGTCGGCTCGTGCTGAGCATGCGTCGCTTGTCCGTCGTCCTCGAATGCCGAGTTAGTAGTGGCGTCGGACCTTGCCTGGAGGACGTGCCGTGCAGTTAAGGGGCAGCGTTCATCACACTGACCGTCGAACATCGATCGTTCGAGGAAACATGCTCGCGTTTGTCGATTCCTTGTCGCTCGGACATCCAGCTGCATTCCCACGGGGGACGGATGTTCCTGACGTCAGTGACTGGCCAGAGCTGATACCTGGCCGACTCCTGGGGTGCTATGTTGCGCTTTTTGGACTCCCAGGAGACTAGGGAGAAGGAAGTGACGTCAACGACACAGCAAACGCAGATTGGGTGTTGATTTCGTTTTCTTCTGTCAACATCCAATCTGCGTTTGCTGTGTCGTTGACGTCACTTCCTTCTCCCTAGTCTCCTGGGAGTCCAAAAAGCGCAACATAGCACCCCAGCATTCACACGAGCGGCGGGGAGAGGGCTGTCACTTGGCTCGTTCGATTTACCTCCTGCGCCGGTGCAGAAAAGTGTAGGGCAGTCTACTTCCGGTATGTGTATTGGAATACGACCGGAACCGCCTTACACTTTTCCGCACCGGTAAATCGAACGCGCCTAGCGTTAGCAGACACAATTAGCGGTCGCATTCTCTACAACGGGGCTCGGTCATAGAGTTATTACAATAAACGCTAGAGGTTCAGGTGGCGCTAGTGTGCATTCAGACCCGTTTATATCCTGAGAGAGGTTGGCCTTCTTAAAGGCCGACGACCAGACACGAGATTCTGGAAGGCAGAAGATCCTCCTCTCCCTGGGAGAGGAGGAAACTGGCAACAGTGGACAGACTCTGTTTCACCTTAAGATGTACCGCAGGAAAGGCTACAAGCGCGAGCTCGTTGCTCTGGGCACATCTCGGCGGCACAAGCTCTCGTGAATTAAGAGCAGCTGCCAACGCTATGAGCTCGCTCTTCTTGCAGCAGCTGTGCACGGACGCCGCCATAACTGACCTTCAGTTTTTGTTTTCTCTTATTCCGTTTACTTCACTTCATCATTACCATAGCAGGCCAGGTTATTGCCGTATTAGATTCAACTGTATCCTTTTCTAAAGCATCGGTTTTTGTAGAGGATCGTCAACTACCGTTTCAGTTGCTCGGCATCTCGGTGAGACAAGAGAAGGTCAGCAATGGCGGCTGTAATTTGGCGCGTGTGTAAAGCGTCTATACTACATAAGGTGAAACGGACTATAGAAGGGGAGAGGATGAAGCGGGGGAAAAGTGGAAAGCGCCAACTGGTCGTCCGTCTTTAAAGGAGCGGTGCAACGATATTCAATTGGAATGTTTTTCACTTTACACGAGCTTACTGGCACTAGTGGGACTCAAGGATACTCGCACGCAACGCCACTGCCCAAGAAACGCCTTGGTTGTGGTGTAATTTCAAGGACAAAAGTAATCATTTTCATTCAATCTCTCCTTGGCAAAATTTGATGACGTAACGTGGGGATCGCAGTACACCCCGATGACGATATGACGCAGATTGGACCCGAGCATTGCGTGACACTCGATTTGGGCTCGTGATAATTACTAGCTCGAGAAGCATTCGGGTAGTCGCCCGTGTCCAATCGCTGCAACGACGACGATAGCCGAGCCATAACAATGTCTGGAACTCAGCGCGTGTTCTGTGCTTTGCCAACCCCGGCGCGTGGCTATGATCAACATTGGCGGCATATAATCGGCTCCAGATCACGTGGCCGCTTGTTCTGGCTGCGAGTTGAGGGGGTGAACGCTGCTCGTTTTTCTATAATTTTTTCCGGGACTTCTTTTGTGTGGGATTAAAAATGAACGCGTGTTTCATAGGTCACTGGCGTCAGGGATCCGTTCTAAACGGTGTTTGCGCAATGTACAAAAATTGTTGCATCGCCCCTTTAAAGAGATTTTAACAGCCTGGCAACCACAGCAGCGCAGTCTGACAACCGTGGGACGACTACTTCCGTCCGCCATTTTGGGGCTCTGACTCATAGGAACTCTATGCGATTTCGTAGGAATAAAGAAGAGAAAGAAGTAACACCATTTTGTGTTATCCCGAAAGCCGCTGGTCTACCTAGAGCCACTGTATATGGCAGCGTAGCTGACAGAGTAGCGACACGACGCAAAATTATCCAGATGCACGACGTCAGAAGCGCCGATAGTGATCTCCACTGATCTCAATGACAATTGCTGGATCGCGCTTGCCGCTCCCGCAAGTGAAGCCACCGGGCCTCACTCGCTTGGGATACGATTTGCCGTTTTTGCTAGCCTTTGCTGCGGTTTTCCAGCGTGCTGTGGACACGTTTTCTACTCGTTCGTCGTCATTCGCCGAAGAAGTTTTTTGAAGACTCTGTGTATTGTTGAGACTTGCCGTTGTGAACACGTGGAAAATTTTACGAAAGTGCAGTGTCGCAGGAAAAAGGCACAACGCGTCGAAAGGAAGGGCTGGCGGCGTGTTCAAAGCTTCCTTGGCACGCCGAAGTGCCGTGTCTCTGTGCCTTCGCGCGCTTGGATACCGACCAAGAACCGACGCCGTGTGAATGTGTTTAGCGAGTGCAATGTGCGTGAAGCCGTATCAAAAGGTACAACTCGTCGAAAACGAGTCGCCGGTGTCGCGGCGTGATCAAAGCTTCCTTGGCACGCCGAGTGATGCATCTTTGTGCCTTCGCACGCTTGGATACCGGTCAAGAATTGACGCCGCGCCAAAGTTCTGAACGTGTGTCGCGCGTAGATGCCTTTAGATCATTTATATATATCGGCCACGGAGTTCTGGATCGTCCAGCTGTTCCGGTGAGTTGCTATCAATAAAAGGGGGAGATCTGTACGTGTTCTTATGTACTATATTAACCATGGCTATGTCCCAAATCTACTCTAATAGATTCCGTGGGAGCACGAATAGGGCAACGTTGTGGAGCCAGGGGGGTTTTCGAAAGCAAAAGTACAAGACGGCGAGAATGAAAATCTTTGAAGCGCGGCCGATATGGTCGTGTGCAATCTGTTGACCAATTACAATTAGGCGAGCCGCGCTCAAACGTCAAGTGCAATTAAGTAGGTTGATAATAAGCCAGCACTGATCAGTGATGAGGAGCTGTTGTGCGCGGTATACTGTAAATTGTCTAACGACGAAAAAGAGACGTACCTTCTCCCCATCTTCCGTCGCTAGTGGACGCTGGATTAAGCTCGTTCCTAAACCGCGAGGGGAAAAGACGCTGATCCAGAGGCACGAACAGCTTCACGCACATTGCACTCGCTGAACACATACACACGGCGTCGGTTCTTGGTCGGTATCCAAGCGTGCGTAGGCACAGAGACACGGCACTTCGGCGTGCCAAGGAAGCTTTGAACACGCCGCCAGCCCTTCCTTTCGACGCGTTGTGCCTTTTTCCTGCGACACTGCACTTTCGTAAAATTTTCCACGTGTTCACAACGGCAAGTCTCAACAATACACAGAGTCTTCCAAAAACTTCTTCGGCGAATGACGACGAACGAGTAGAAAACGTGTCGTCAGCACGCTGGAAAACCGCAGCAAAGGCTAGCAAAAACGGCAAATCGTATCCCAAGCGAGTGAAGCCCGGTGGCTTCACTTGCGCTGCAGCGAGCAAGCGGGGAAGCGCGATCCAGCAATTGTCATAGAGATCAGTGGTGATCTCCATTTTGGGCCTGGGAGGTTGTCATGGTAACCGTATACTGCTAGCGACTCCGGGCGGCAGCTTTTTTAGTCTAGTTGATATCTCTATTCGTTCATTGAAAAGTTGTAAAAGACGCTTGGCATGGCTGTACGGTGCCTGTTTCTTCTGGGAAGCGAGACGATTAGCAGCCCGGGGACTGTCGGGCGGCGAGAGCTGCTAGGTATCGTATGTGCACGGACAGGGCGAGTGGTTTTCCGCGTCGCCGGGATGGCGGCCGCTTCGTGGGACGTACGCACCGTCCTTATACTTTCGGACTTGGCTCTGATGGAACAAAATCTGATTGCGCCGGCCACGACAGGACGATTGCATCGGGACATGACTGCTGCTCGACTGCCCCATAGTAAGCGAATGTATGGTTAGCATCATACTTCTTCAAGACCCAATCATCCGCTCAACATGAGATTTTCTCACAGACTGGCGAGGAGCGACGTCGACGACGGTCTCACCCTCGTACGGGCGACGAACAGCCGACGGGGTTCAACCAAAAAGCATGGTGGTCTCCAGAGGAGTGTTAACGCCATCAAAAGAGACGGACGCCGGATTTGAGGTGCTCTTGGCGACAGGCCAAGTGGCCGTCTGGAAGTTCACCGGCATTCGAAAAGGTACTATTTTTGTCTGGTGTAGCACACATATCCGTGTTAAAGGAGCCATGAAATGGTGTTTTAACTTATTCTTCCTTGGCTGTAATTCTCAACTCAAAAGCGAACTGTGAAATCACGCGGTCGTGACATGCTAAGGCACCGGTGCGATGACCCCAAGCTTCCACCGTGCTTTTTAAGCACACCATAAAACTTGGCATTCGCAAGCTATGATAAGTTCCGTCAGGGCACTCATTGGCCACAAACGCCAATTCAAATATTCGTCGACGAACTGATTGTTGACGAGCGCATACGTCCGAGTGACGCCGTTTCGTGTCCAATACGTGAGTTGGGGATGGCTGACGTCATTTTGGCCTTCGAAGGCATTGCAAAGAGGATTGTTAGAGCCATACACACACGATGATAACGTCAGAGCACACCGGCATTAAGGAGCACCATCAAGGAGCACAAAACGGGCTCAGCTACAGAAAATAAATGTTACACTCGTAATAAATAATTGTGTCTGTAACTCGTTAATTACAAAGACGAACGCACCTCTGAGCATCTAAGTTTAATAGTATGCGTTGATGCATAGTTACATAGCAGGACATTTCATATACGTCACTTGAGCAAACGCCAGCTGGTCACTTGAAAAGACAAACCAAAACACACTGCGATCAAATACAAGCTATTGCAAAGAAAGCATGGTATATTAAAATCTTCAGAAGTGCCAATTCGTAAAATCTTCGATTAGTACAAAAGTTAAAGATCGCAGGAGCTTCCTCGCTAAAAGTTGCTGTGATTATTCGGTGACCCAGAGCTGAAACAACTTCTCCTAGGCCCTACACGCGACGTATACCTTCCGTTTTCGATTTTCAGAAATTCAAACTTTCAAAGAAAGCTAGAAAAATGCGAAAATTTTATCCCAAAAGCTATATTGTAAAATCGTTGATTAGTACAAAACGTAAACATAGCAGGAGCTTCCTCGCTAAAAGTTAGTTATTATGCGGTTAGCTGGGCCTGACACAACTTCCCCAATGTCCAACATGCGACGCACAGATTTCGCATCGATTCTCAGACACTCCAACGTTGAAACAAAGCTAAGAGTACGCGAAAATTGCGCGCTAAAAGTCTTATCCATCGTCGAACGTATCCGGGAATCCGAGCACCGCTACTGTGATATGACTGATGCTGTCGCACAGGTGCTAAAATCCAGAGCGATCTTGCACAGAAAGGGTGTAAATTATCATTCTTTCAGATCTTTAGGTTATAGACGCTTTCAGGCAGCTGTGCATGGGCGCCGCCATTAACGACCTTCAGTTTTTGTTCCCTCTTATTCTGTTCGCTCCACTTCATTATTACCACAGCAGGACAGGTTACAGCCATTTTAAATGTTACTGTGTCCTTCTGCCTAGCACAGGCCCTTACCTGTCAACGCCCGCTTCAGTGACTCGGCATCTCGGTAAGACAAGAGAAGGTCGGCTATGGCGGCTCAGTCTGGCGCGCGCTGAAAGCGTCTATACCTACGTCAGAGAGCACGAAGAAGCCCGAGATCGTCGGCAAGCTGCGGCACATCACGACTACCGCGCACCGAACAAACTCGTATCCACCAGCTCAGGGCGCTGCCATCTTACCGGAGACATCACGGCTCTTGCGAGGTCACGTGACGAGTAGGGCTGCTGGCCGGTTTCATTTTCAGTGTTCGTGCGTATCGCGCGTGATTTGCTCGCTTTCCGAAGCGACGCACACGCGCGTGCTGAGCTGTGGAGATCGCACGCTGAGCTGTGGATTTGTAAACATTGGAAAGGTCTATAGGCACGGTGCCAGCTCGGCTCGTTGCTATGGTACCGTGTGCGACCAATCGCGGTGAGAGGCGGCACAGGGAAAAGCGTGGCGCTACTCTGGCGGCTACGCTGCCATATCTAGTTCTACCTAAAGCCCCTCGATGTGTTTCTGTCTGAATGAATTTTATCAAGGGACTTTAGTTCTACCTGGCAACAAGCTCCACCCATTGGCCAAACTCTCTCAGCATAAACGGCTCCGGTTGCATTTTGAAGCAGACAGCAAGCAGTCTAAATTTGACTTCCGGTAATCCATTCCTATGGGAAAACGCAAATGCGTTTTCTCTTCGCGCTCGATTATAAGGGCAAATATTGCCTAGTGTTGTGATCCAATAAAAAGTTTGGAACGATTTACAATAGGATGTACAAAAATATGCGTCATTCATAGCGTTTTTTTTTTTTTTTTAGAATTTAGGCGTCGAACACTGCGCTACAATAGCCCAATACAGATGGATAACACGTGTTGACGTTGCAGACTGCTATTATAGGGCACGTATTTACTCATGCAGTCAATGCTATGAAGCACACAGAGGGAATCAGCTTGACAAAACACCAAAAAACAAACAAATTAGTCGTTACTTAATTTTTTATACAGCAGGAGTTTGGTCTGCCAAAACATGGCGACATTGTTACCCACTGTAGATAAGCAATTTAGCCAGTGCAGCACGACTGCTCGCCTGGGATCTTTAACGTGCACCACGCAGTAGTGATACACGACTGCACGCCGGTACGGTGCTCATCCAGATCGAAACGGGCAGGGGTGGGGGGATTGAGCCGAGGATCCCTGGGTTCTGCAGCGCGAGCTTTCGCTCCACGTGCTCCGAGCTGGTGTGCGCTAGTCTCCTCGGTCACCGATCTCTGACAAAACTAGGGTGCCTACATGTCTGTCTGTCTCAGGGTGAAGACATCCATTGTTGCCCTGAATGTGCCAGCGCGTGACGCTCTCGTGCAGTCGGTGCGTGACTTGGGCGGTAATATGGCGTCTATGCATTAGCCAAAGCTACGCGCTCGAGCTGAGTGACACCGGATTGCGCGCACTTCAAAATGCATAAAAAAAACATTGGGCGGAAAAATGGCTGAGATGTCACCACTCAAGCAAAAGCGCGCGTGTGTATGAAGGCACTCTAGACAAAACACCAAAAGGATGCCAAATCAAATAATCATAACAGACGACAAGAACGAAGCATGGTGTTATGTAACGAAGACCACTTACTAGATTAGCAACAAACTTTACATGAAAAATCAAAATTAAGCAGTAACCGAGTGTTGTCTTTCTGAAATGAATCCGATTGTTGTCCTTTTTGCTTGAATTCGTCGCTTTTATTGACATGTAATGCCTGTGCGGGCCTCAATTTCTGCTAACTTAAACATCGCTCAGTAATAAAAAAAAAACATTAAATAAACGAATTACACTTTTATAATGTAAATCAAACTGCATAGTACCCGTTACCAGTAAAGAAACTACGCTGATTTCCATTTATTTCTGGCGAAGAAAAAAATAGCACGTACGTTTTCCCCTAGGAATCCACAGGAAGACTGGAAATGTAGACTGCATGCTGTCTGCTTCAATTTGCAACCGGAAGTCCCGTAGACACTAGCGCAAGCTGAGCCCTCTAATTCTAATAACTCTATAAGCTCGGTAACTCGGTGCGCGCTGACGAGAAAAATAGAGGGGTACATGAAATGGCGATACGCGATTAGGGCAGCAGGCTGGTAGATGTGCAAGACGACGACTGGTTCCTGGTCAAAAAGAAAAAGCTGCTTCTCGAATGTGTTGATGCGACGCAAAGAACGGAGTCCAAAAGAACGTGGAGTGTGAGGAGCGGCTTGAGGACGGCATTGATAAATATCGAGGTCTCATTCGGGGGCCTCGGACCACCTCTATTCTGACAAAGCCTGGCAGATCGTCACGCGACGCGGCCCCCAAAGTGAAAAGGTAGAGCGGCAGACAAGAGTCATGTGACGGGCGCCCCGCTGCGGCGAGACGCCGAAACACACTTGTCCCGAGCGATGGAATGTCCGCTCGTGCTCCTCGCGTTCCTCGGGCTACCGCTTCTTTTCTCGTCGGGTTGGAGAATCATGTTTCGGGTCCTCGCCGCTGCAAATGCTGTGCGCTGAATACCGGACTCCCTGATGAATGCTCCGTGCTACCAGATCCTCGTGCTCCAAATCTGCGACCGAGCACTGTATGGTTCCGTCATCGAACTGCCAGGTCTTTGTGAGTAGAGAGGAGGCTCGGACGAAATGCGCAACAGCGCGAGCCAGTGCAAGCCACAAGTGAGGCGATCCCGATGCCACCGCCGGTATCCAGCTGAACACAATCTTTCACCAGACAAGTGAGCAAAGTAGCGCCAATTGCGAAGAGATCCCAGGCGAAAGCGGGGAGCGTTTCTCCAGCCCAAGCCTCCCACATCCCTGAGCGATGTCAGCGCGCCTCTGCGCAAGGCCATGACGTTGTTACCATGTGATGCCCATCCCGGGGGCCAAAGGGAGGCATTCCACCCCTTGAATCGAGAGACGCTACACCCGTTTTCACTTCAAGAACCGTAGAAAACAAAAGTCCGGCTCCGCGCGGAGCATTACTGATTTCCCTCTTGATGTAGAGAACCAAGATATATCTATGTGAATTGTAGATTAGATACATGTCCTCTTATTAAGGCGTTCCAAACGCCAAAACTATCGCTTTTTCCTCCGATAACCCAATCTCGTCAGAACTACTACTTGGCGCAGCGTAGGAACAATGCGCAAAATTCGTTTTTTCTTGAGATGAAAACAGGTAGAGAGAACTATTTTTCTTTCCCTTTTTCGGTTTTTTTGTTTTAAGGGTGGTTAGATGTTGCTTTCTCCGTAAAGGAAGCACCTGCCGATGAGCCAAGACCGTTCTATCGTTTGCATTGTCATCCTTGACTAAATTAAAAAAAAAAACATATGTATATATATATATATATATATATATATATATATATATATATATATATATATATATATATATATATATATATATATATCAGTGTGTCGAACCGAAAAAAATACGGGTTCGGTTACGGTTCAGGTTCAGGTAAATTTATTTTGTTCCGGTTCAGTTCCGGTTCGATTAATTCGATCCGCGAACCGATTCGGAAATTATAGATGACAAATTCCAACATCAAAATAAATTACAAATAAAACATCTGAAATCAGCACATACGAAACGGGATACATCGTAGTGTAAGGCTCAGGGATTTCTACCAGGAATGGTTTCTTTATGTGCACTCAAAGGTTACCTCACCGACGTTTACGCATTCGTACTTCATCTAATTGGGTCCGACGCAGTAGCTGTAAAATCCGCGACCTCCTTACAAACCCACTTACAAGTAGAACTCGCTAACTATCTCGCCGCCTCGGCGTGTAAGCAATTGAAGAAACAGTGGGGAGAAAATACAGCTTTCTTTATTTGAACTAGCCTTCGGTAACTCAAATTAGACCCTTAAAGAGGTTTTCATTAAACAAGATACGGAATATGGAAAACACTTCACCGAACGCAACGCCAGAAGGACGTAATAGGATAAATATTAAAATAGAAGAGTTCGCTGTCTCACAAATATGTTAGCTTCTAAGTGCCTATACGAAACCGGATGCATTATTATCAAACTCCACAGCCTTTTCTTTTCTCATTCCGATGGAAGCAAGCTTCAAGAACTCGCGCGTTCTAGAAACGTGTTATGAAATGAGCACGCAGCAGCATTTAGGATTTACGAGATTGTAAAAAAATAAAATCCCGTGACGCGATTTTTTTTTTTTTTTTTTTTTGCACAGCCTTTTAATTATTTTTTTTCCGTGCAAGCCGCGACCAGCGCAATACTGGTTCCTATGTCAAGATTCACGGATGCAGCGTTTGTCAAGATTGATGGATGCAGCGTTTACATTCCTAAGACTGAGTGGAGAAGAAAAATATGTAAGCGAGGTGTGCGTCAGTTGACAGCACTTAAAAAACAAATGGCATTGAAAGCACATTCATTGTCAACAGCGCGTGGCCGAACCGTTTTGACATGAGCCGGTAACCGTTATTTTTTTTCCGGTTCAGTTCCGGTTCGGGTTCATCGCGATAACAATATAACGGTTCGGGTTCGGGTTTAGTTCCGGAAAAAATACCGGTTCGGTTCCAGTTTTCGGTTCGGTTCGGTTCCGGTTCGACACCCTCATATATATATATATATATATATATATATATATATATATATATATATATATATATATATATATATATATATATATATATATATATATGCCACTCGCGACGGCGAGGACCTGAAAGATTTGAGCACTACTTAATTTTGGGAGCATTACAATCGTATTACAAGCAGATTAATGTTCAATACCTCGCTCCTATGGTCCCCAGTGCGCTTTGACGCGTATCGATGGTGAAGTCATGTTTTGTACTCGTCTTGTGTTTTTTAGCTCTCGTTATAAAACCATTCTTTTTTTTCTTTAGGAGTATATACACAGTATGCATAATCTTGCCATTTTGTGAACAGTTGTATTTTTGGTGTTTTTCCAGTACATGCTGTTGTTCCAAAGTGGGTCAAGACGCTGGACGTCGTCCAACGGCAATTTCGATTCCTGGATTCTTCTTCTTTGCAAACTACGAGGAGGAAAATAATAATATTATTTTTAATATCTAAGCACGTAATCCTTTCACGTTAAATATATCTCCTATACACCTCAAGGGAATCGACGGCACGTGACCTATCCGTCAACTCAGTTTCCCGGTAAATATTTAGGGGGAAAATTCGCATCTTGAACATCAGATCAGCGGAGGAAATGGACGTCACGTTAAATTTGGCGGAAGAATGTACACGCGACACACCGATTCGCTCTCCTCCCTCCCCCTCGTATGAAAACCGTCGTTGCTAGGTTCTGCTCCTCATTTCATACATTAGACGCTTTTGAAGGCGCTGCCAATTCTTTTTTTCTATTAAAGCATTTTAGTGCATATATCTTGCCAAGAACTCGAGCCAAGTTTGCGGGATGCTGGCTCTTGGACATCCTCCACTCGGACATCAATTGAAGCAAGTTACACCAGTGAACTTGGCTACACGCAGCTGGCTCTTTTTCCTCCGCTCGCTATGCTTCCATTTTTGCGCTAAATGTACGACGTGCTCGAGCTCAACCCATTCTGAGGAGATGGTGGGGAACGCCCGTTCGTGAAACGAAACCTGGATGTATGAAGGTACAAGCGAGCGATGGATGAACGTGAGCCCTCGTCGACGCTCAGTGGTGTCGCTGATCCATCGACGGCATTCCCTCGACGCGTCAAAACTAGGCGCCTTCGTCCGGCTTCTCGTAAACGTTCTCCACCAGGAGACCTGGTCGGACGGACGAAACCTTGCCGAACTACCGAGGTTCGATGGGTCGGTTCTTTTATCCGCGGGATCAAAGGGATATCTTAAAGTTTGTCAAAATAACTTCTTTTTTTAGGGGGGGGAGAGGCTAATGGGACGCGCACTTATGTAAGGTGCGATTTAGACAACGTATCTTAGTTCGCATCGTGTGTCAGTCAAGAAGCTGGAACGCACGCGGCGAATTCGAGTAAAAAAACGCAAAAACTGCAAAAAAAAAAAAGATCGGTGCAGTTCCAGTCCACCGGAGCGAAAGTCGTACCAATTTTTGTGAGAGATGTGCTTGCCCCACAAGTGGTTCCGGTAAAGGGCATCAATTATGAAAATACGAAGAAATAATAAAAATACAATACTATACCGAGTCACTTTATCCCGATAAAGATAAATATGCTCGACGCGAGACAGGACCGAGTCATAGGCTGAAAAAGTGAACACCTTTCGATACCCTGGCGCGTGCTAAACAATACGAGGGAAAAGCACACTACAGGCAAGCTGGTAAACTGGCTTCGTAATAACAAAATCGAGATTAAAAAAAAAACAACGAACGAGCACGGTGTCGAATTAACGTCGTTATGTGTGGTTTCCCATTTTTAATTTTTGTTTTCAGTTTCGGAATTAATATATAGAAGTAGACGATGTTCGACTAGACGTCCTGTCAGTCAAGATGGCGACGGCCGCGTACGAGACGTTTCAGTTTATGTGCGAGCGAAGGCGCAGCTCCGAGCACGAGACGAGTATTGGCGGCCGATGAGCCCGAACGATGCTGGCACAGAATCAGCCAGCAGGGAAAAGAAAGCCAGGAGGTCGCTCTGGTGGCTTCTTCTCGGCGTGCTCAGCAGCGCCCTTCGACGGCCAGAGACACCCGAGCGGGGCTTTACGAAACCTCTTTTCAGTTTGTTTTTAGTTTGTGGCGCTCTCGGGACTACATCGGCTGGAGGTGCTTCACCGACACGCCCGCGACTAGCGATGTCCGCTGGGCCCCGAGCCGCTCGTGTACGGCACGTATCCAGGCGCGGGCCGAGCGTGCCACTGTCGTGCCGGGCGTGTCACGGGGTTTTTCCGGGCGCGGATCGAATGCAAACAAGCTCGGTCGGACGGCGCCGAGCTTGTCGCCCCCTCCCCGCTCGAATGGGCAGGCCCGCAGCCAGCGTGACTCCGCGTGCCCGCAGCCGGCACGGGGCCCCGTGATTCGGCACGCTTAGCGGCCGCAGCGCGCGATGGCCCTAATCCGGGCGTCGGAAGAATTAATTTCCGGGACGTCCCCAGCTCGTAATCGCTTCACAATGACTCGGGCCAAAGCCGAGCCTTTCGGGATTTTCCGAGGCCGCTTTTCCGGACCGCGCCTCCGGTTAGGGCCGAGAACTGTTAGGCCACTCTTCGCCATCAGACCGGCTGCTTTCTGCGTCGGCTAGGCATGCCTTCGAATCCTTTAGGAATAGTTATTCGTTTCTTTGCGCGTGCGTATGTGAGCTCTTCCTGGACGGACCCTTGTCCACACTCCCGCTGCGCTCTTCCAAGGCGTTTCTCGCGACTCGAATCGGGTCCCGAGCGGATGGAGAAGTGGTGCTTGGAGGACGGTCGAGACGTTCAGTCCCTCGGCAAAAATAATTAAAAGGAACACAATTTAAGTATAACATTATGTATGTTTATATCCTCCTTAAGTGTATAACTTTTGTCGTTCCTGAGGAGTATCTTTTGCTTTTCATACTATTCAGTTTTCTTCGTCACATCCCTCTTTAAATGCCCTATAATAGGGTTTTCCGAGCATTCTTATATAAATAAACAATTAACTGGCGGCTTATACGATTCTACACCAAGATCTGTATTTCTTTGGAAAGTTTGGACACTCGACCGCATTTGTTTGGTCGGAGCCGCCAACGATGCTCGCGTCTCGGACACGAAATACGAGATACGCGTACAACGGTGCGCGGATGATGACGACCTGCCTGACTGTACGGAGAGCTACAGTCGGGGTTTTCGCGTATCAAGAGGCACTCTAGCTGCCGTCCAGCGCAGGTCAATCCAAGGCGTCGGGACCGGGCGTGCCTGCGTGCGCAGCCCACACGGAAGAGACGGACAAAGCAGAGTGGAGAGCGGAGCCCGTGCACCTGCGCACTCGCACGCGACCGACACGTGAGCGGGACACATTCCCGCGCAGAGGCGCATTCCCCGCTTCCCAGGGGTGTCGGGTTGGCGGCGACCGCTCTAATCGCCGTGCGAAACCGGGACGACACGGCGCCCCCCGGGCAAGGCTTCGGACCACCCGCCTGTCCGCCGGCAATCCCGGCACCCCTTTTCCAGAAGCTCCGTGGCCTCTCCTGCCTCGGATATCAACTTTCAAAGGCGTTCGAGGGCTGAAAGAAATTGCTCGTCGTCTTCTAGTCCCAATGCCGTTGATTAGTACTCCTTGGCACGCAGTCCGGTAAAAGCGCGAAAAACGAGCCACCAGAGTCGGCGACAGGTCGGGGCAAGTTCCCCCTTAAGCAGAGCGAACGCCGGGGAGCGGGTCAGCTCCTCTCTCCAGCGTTCGCTTTGGAAAGCGGAGTATCCCCGGAATTCTTAACATCGACCACAGCCCAATCCCAAACACCGTTTCCGAACAGATCTTTCTCGAGAAAGCCAGGAAAATCTGTCGACGGTCATGATGGACGTGATCTGGGCAACCTGTTGCCTGGCTGGCCGAAGCTACTGGTACACATACATTCGGGTGAATTTGTTGGGCTCGAATAAGACAGATTAATAAGCAGGGAACCAGCGAATTTCCAAAAGAGTCGAACTACGTCCCGAAAAAATATTGCGCGCGCCAATTTACCTCTCCAATTTTGGAGAGAAGAATTAAGGTGATCATAAACCGCCAAACCATGCCTGTATTAGCGCGTATGCTCTATTATGATTTGTAAACATTATGTTTCCCTCTTTGTTAATGCAATGACGAGACCTTCAATGAGGCCGAATGCAAGGTCGTCAGTCGCTCCAGCGTTAGTTGTTTTAAGACTCGCTCGCGAATATTCGCTTCTCGCAAAGCTAGAATACCCGGGGCCATCCTTTCTCGGCCGGCTCTCGCGGAGCCTTCCGGCGTCGTCTGCTTTGCACCGTTTACGCGCTGGGCCCGCTCCGACTCGACGGGGCTGGCGCCGCACTTGAATTATGGTCAGGGCCGGCGCCACTTGCCAGTCACATTAGCTCGTAAGCCGAGCGGGAGCACAAAAATCGGCCGAAGCGGGGCCCGCCGGGGAGATTATGCGTTCGAAGGGAGCGGCGCAGCTGCGAGGCCCCCCTGACGGACCCCGCAGCAGCAGCGGGGTCCGTCAGGGAGCCAACGGGGCCGCAATGAAGCCGTCAGCGCCGGCCATCCGTCAAATCGCTCCTCGCCGAGCAAAAACCCGGCCGATTGGCTGCGCCTTTGTCCCCGACAAGAAGCCCGCGCTTCGAGTGCGCGAGAGACACGTGCACCCCGCACTCATTTGCTGACCGGACTTTGGCCAGAGATGCCGCCAGTGCCTGCTCGAGGCATCTTTTCACCGAGGCCCTCGAGCCAGATGCAATCTTCGCGCCACACAAATAAGAGGGCGCGCTTTCTTAAAACGTCATCCATGTTAGCTCGAGATAAGCTTGGAGCACTGCGCGGGCCGCACCGAAAAGCTGGCCCACACAGCGCAGAGTGTTTCACGAGCATGGGCCGGTTCCGGTTTGTACCAAACATTCTTTTTCTAGCTTGGGTCAGGTTTGGGCATCCGTGTGTCGCACTAACGTACACTCTATTACACATCAATGCGAATCAATGCAGTGTTCGATGCTTTTAAGAAATCGAAGCATGAATGCAAAGAGCGATGGAGGTATCACAAAATACATCTCATCGACACAAACAGAGAGTCTTTCCGCTTAAAGAGAACAGTGTGGTTGTTCCGTGGACTGTGCAAGGCGACTTTCGGTAGACGGCACAACAATGTATGACAACTGAGAAGCCAGTATAACCTACTGTAGACACACAATCGGCGTTAGTGATTATGAATCGCCCACCATTTCTGTTGGTTTCTTTCATTTTTTGTTGGTCCGATTATGAGCTTATGCATAAAAGCCCCGTGAGACTTTCAGTATCTTCCCCGCAAGTCGGATTTAAAAAATTGCTAAGGCTAACATTCGATTTCGCGAACTCGTACGCAGATTCAATAACAGGATCCATGGATGAACGGACGGTTTTGCCGTCTTTGGAGCCGAGCATCCTCCCGACGAAAATATCCGCTCTGCGAATGTCGCTTCTCCGCATCGTGGCTAGGTGATGGGGAAAGCCCGCTTGACGAATCCAGGCAAGCTTTGACATGTTCCAACTTCATCACCAAGATTTCGGGGCATGACCCACTCGCGCCATTTCTTGGCAGGCGTGCGCGATCGCCAAAATAACCCTAAAATCTACCCGATTAATATAAAAAAAAAACTAAAATTCCCCCGGAATTATTAGGATAAGCGCGATTAATACGTACGGGATAATTTTTCAACACGCTCCGAATATTTTCCTAGGTTCCCGAGGAAAAATGTGTTATCGCTCCCATAGAGCCCTATGTAAGTCCCACTTTTTGTAGTTCTCGCGAAACAACCATCCGGTATTCAGAATGTTCCCCTAGGTATACTAAGTAGAGACTATATGCTGTCAAAATGCACCGAGAGCTAA